CATTTGTTTGGATTAAGATTTTTAATTATAAAACTGAAAATAAACATGTTTTATTTAATTTCTCATTGCTTCTGATCCCAACTTAGTACTTCTTGGTCCATAAGCTGCTCCTGCAAAAGTATGTTTACATATTTTACATTTCCATATGCCTACTACTTGTCTTTTAACTGCTTTTTTTCCACATGCTTCACATACATACTTGGCTTTTTGCATCACTTCTATAGTATTAACAATCTTTCTCAATCTTGATCCATATCTCACACCATATTTTTTGGAAATCTTTTTCTTATTTGATGCTTTTCCTTTCATTGAGGGTTAAAAAATTTTATTAAAAAAATTTACATCAAATTTATTTCATTAGACAATTTTATTTCTCCAATTATCTGATCTTCACTTAAAAACAACTTTATAATTTCTTCTATATTTTCACACTCAAATATTATTTTAACACCTTTTCTCATGTTTTAAAAGGATATTGGTTTTATATGTGATTTAAAACTTAAATTGGTGATTTTATTGGTTAATTTTAATATTTATTTTATTAGTTATTTTATTTAATTTATAAATCTACTAGATCCATCTCCAACTGTTTTCATTAATGCTTCTTTTAAAATATCATTTTTTTCTGGTAAATAAATAACTGGGTAATTTTTCTTAATTTCATCACACTTATCTGAAGGTAAACAAGGATTGGGTGATTTGTATGGCGTACATTCAGCTTGTTTAATTCTTTCCTCTGTTTTATTATTTGAGTTTTTAAGCTTATTAAGGTAATATTCTAATTTTTCTAATGATTTCTCGGTATTAAATGGGAAAATATCAAAATAGAATTCACAATCCAAATTAAACAATCCTATTCTTTCATCTTCAAACTTACATTTCTTAAGAGCCATTGAATGAGTTAAACACTTATCACGTCCATATCTTACTACAATTGTTTTATCGTTACCTCCCTTATGTACTGGGAAAAATGTCCATACATATCCTTCTTTACTCTCATTACTCATATCTGAACTACTATATTCTGAATCATCATAATTATTAGCTGATTTAAGGTTTTGTTTTAAATTAATTAACTTAGTTTTACCTTCTTTCAATTTACTTTTCTTATTATTACTTTCTTTTAATTTACTTTTCTTATTATTACTTTCTTTAATAGAATTTTTCTCATCATTATGATTTTTTTTAATTGAATTTTCATTTGAATCATCTTCATTGAAATTGTTTTGATTTTTATTTAAATTGAATAATTTGCTTGATTTCAATTTTTCTTCTTTTAAATCATTAACTTTATCTTCTTTTGAATTATTAACTTTATTTTCTTTTGAATTATTAACTTTATTCTTTGTTTCCTTTTTAAGATAATTTTTAATATCATTTTTCTTTAATTTTGTTTCTTTATTATTTAATTTTGTTTCTTTAATATCATTTTTCTTTAATTGTAATTTGTTATTATTTGATTTAAAATCTTGTTCATATTCATCATCTGAATAATCTTCAGTGTCATTTTCTTTTGGTTCAACCAAAAAATTTACACCGTTATTAAAACCATGTAATCTTTGAGTTCTTTCTTTTTCTTCATTACTTATTATTCTTTCTGTTGTTGTTCCTCTACCACTATTTCTATTATAATTTCCATTTTTATTTTTATTATAACCACCTTTAGAATCATTTCTATTATACTGATTACTGCCATAATCTGAATCATAAGTAGAATTTTGACGTTTATCATTTTTTCGATAATCATCATTTCTATAATTTGAATCATATCCATTCCTATTTGAATTGTAATAATCTTTATTATTTGAATCATATCCATTTCTATAATTTGAATCATATCCATTTCTATTTGAATTGTAATAATCTCTATTGTTTGATTTATTTGATGAATAACGATTTGGGTTATAACAACTACTACTATCTTTTTTGAACAGATCAGCTATTTCTTTAGCAGTATCTTCTTGTTCTTTTTTGAGAATTTCATCATTACAATGTTCTAATCTAGCCTTTTTTCCATCTTTTGCGTCTAAAATACGTCCATTAACTGATATTCTTAACTTTTGTGTGTCTTTATCCTCATCAATTCTAAAAACTGATCTAAAATTACTAGGTTGTACCACAAATCTTAAATCCTCATCTAAAAACAATGGGTGTCTATTAGCTTGTTTAGATGGATGTACGTATTTGGATATGGCTACCGTTATTGCATTAATAATGTTTATTTTCAATAACATTGTGTTTATTTATCTTTGTTTTATTTAAATTAAATGTTTCAGATTATTAAATAAACTTTTATCAAAAATATAAACAAAATTTTTATAAAAAAAGTATATTTAAAAAATTTTACTTATTCATGACTCTTATTTTTAACAACACTTTTTGTTCTATCTTGTTTACCTTCGGGTCTTTTTTGTGATCTACCAGTAAGCTTTTTCATAAATAAATGTGAGTTAAATATTGGTCCAACAGGTCCTGGTATTTTCTTTAAAACTTCTGTTAAAACTGTAAAAACATTAGTCACCTCAGCTTTTGTAAGTTCTGATTCAAAATGTTGAATTGATCTTTCAAATGCTGCTGCTATTTGTTGTGATGAAATTTCACTCCTAAAATTATTAAATTTAAGCTTATCTATTGTTGAAATGAATCTATTGAAATCTGTTTCTAAAGCATTTCTATCATAATCCTTATTTTTAGCAAGTAAACTTAAAAGCTCAAACAATTTTTTCTGTAAAATTTCCTTATTTCTATTAATTTCTTCTTCGGTTAATTTATTAAGAAACTCTAATGATGTCATTTTATTAGGATCATTATTAGAGGACCAAGATTTAAATCTTTCGTTATTGTTACAATCATCTTCGTTTTTTGAAACATTAATAATTTCTCTATAAATAGGGGTGTCATCATCATCTCTAATTATTTCTCTTTGATACTCCCCGCCTTTATCAGCTAAATCTACTAAAAATACAGGATCAAAATTAAAAGTATCTAAATCTGGGTTTTGAAGTTGGTCATCAGAAGTTGTGTTTGTAAAATTTGGAGTGTAAATTGTTTCATTGTTGTCAAAAAACGGACCAAATGGTTCCATTTTTTTATTTTTAACTAAAATTGGATAAATATAAAAAGGAAGTGTATCAAGTTTTTTTAACTTTTCCGGTAACAACCTTTCAATTCTGTAAAGATATTTACTCGTGTTAGTATCTTCATCATTATCCCTTATAAAATTATAAGCAAATAAATTACCGCATGTTCTAACTAAAAATGCGTTGTTGGTTTTATTTTTAAGCAAACGATCACTTAAAATTTGATAGCACTTATCAATAATATCTTT